ACCTGATGGTATACCGGCTATAGTTCTAAAGATCTGTGCTCCTGAGTTGTCTCCTGTGTTGACGCGCTTGTTCCGCCTCTCATTCAGGACTGGAATAGTGCCCAAATCTTGAAAGCTGACCAATTTGCAGTCTATGCCTAAAAAAGGTAGCCGTGCTGACTCTGCCAACTATCGACCAATTTTAATTACCTCCATACTCTGCAAGATTATGGAGCGTATATTGAACGCCCGCTTAATGCCATACCTAGAATAAAATGACCTCCTTAATGACCGGCGGTACGGGTTTCGCTGAAATCGTTCAGCTGGGGACCTTCTAGCGTATGCCACACACGTATGAGGCGAGGCACTCGAGAACAGTGCGAAAGCACATGCTGTTTCCATTGATATCTCGAAGGCCTCTGATAGCGTTTGGCACGATAGCCTTTTGGGTATGCCTCCTACGTACGGCTTATCCCCTGGTCTGATTGAATGGATAATGGATTTTCTGAGTGAAAGGTCTCTCTAGGTCGTCGTCTATGGCTGCTCATCCGATGCTGTGGCAACTGACGCCGGTGTTCCTCAAGGGTCTGTTCTCTCCGCAACTCTCTTCCTGCTGCATATTAACGATCTGCTTATGCCCGGTATCTATGGGTATGCAGACGATAGCACAGTTGTGGAGAGATACCAACCAAGTCCTTGGACCCGTCGGGATCAAATCCTTTCTGAAATAGAGGCTATGATTGAGCGTGTGAATCTCACAATACTGGCAGTCTCCGATTGGGGCAATGCCAACCTCGTGAGTTTCAACGCCTTCAAAACGCAAGCGTGTCTTTTCACCGTTAAAAGGAGCCCGCTCACCCTGGCTCCCACTATCCGGAATCTATCCATGGAGTACACTGGCCGTCTTCAGTTGTTAGGGATTGAATTTTCTCCGAACCTCAAGTAAAGGCAGTTCATTGAGTCCATAGCCAAAAAACCCGCAAGGAAACTTGGTGTTCAATCTACAAATAAAAAATTTCTTCTATCGTGAAAATCTATATATTTTACGCATAACTTTTTCATACAAGAAAAAGTAGCGCATCTGTCAAAATACAAAAGTTTTATCAAAACACGACGTAATCAGGGTCGAATTTCGTAGTATAATTATCCTAATTGTACAATTATTTCATAATTTTTAGTATATAGCATCGTAATAATACAAAGCGAAATACCATAATTTTACCTAAAGGATCGACTTGTATTATTATTGGGTCACATTGTATTATTGTTGGATTCACCAATCTTAAGCTCACAAAACACGTTATTCTCACTTAAACCAACATGTAAACGCCTTAGATCACTAAGAACTGTGAAAGTTGTTTAGCAAAGTGTAGTTTACTAAACAAAAAACCGGCACGGAGAAAGGGACAAACAATCACACCGCTCTATCTCATTTTTATGCAAGACGTTTGCATACATCTATCTTTTTCGTGTGCGAATGCGAAAGAAGGCGTCATTTTGTCTATAGGTTTCTCTGTATACGATAGACTCCAATTGCAGTTTATACTAGATCTATGCTTGCTACATATTTATTTATATTATCTGTGAAGTGGTAACATAGACTAAGATCTAAGAGTATCGAATATAAAGGTAAGGAGGACAATCTCCCATAGGAGAGTAGTTGAAAATGTGAATATCCGTAAACAGTAAATAACAGTTCAAAAACTCTCCACAATAGCGCTCGAGTAGCTAGGTATAATGATATATACCATGACTCTTAGGTATGTAGCATGGAGGTTAGAGAACAGGAGAACGATCGCTACGTACTTAAGCATAGCCTGCCTGTACTTGAAAATTTGTGGAATTTATAGCGGCGCTGCCGTCGGTGAGTAGTGGCTGCGAAGTTAGCTGCTTATGAGTACAATTAGATGAAGTTAGTTGAATAATGTACAAATTTTCTTCGCGGCATTGGTGAGAAAATTTTCATGCTCCGTAATTTTTTAATTTTTGACAAAAAGAAACATTAACAAATGGAGAAATATTTTATTGTGCGTGGATGTGCAAGTGGTTTAGCATCTGATCGGAAAAATAGACTGAAAATGACTTTTATTGCGCGAACTTAGCGAACGCAGCGCTTCACTTATGGTGTCCATATTTCTGGGACACTATTTTCTACCGCAATCGTTCTCCTGTTCTCTAGCCTCCATGCTTAAGAGTAGTAAATAATAAATATCTATTTATCTATGGTAGTACATTGGAAATGAATCGGCATCATTTTTGTCACTTGATGTAATTATAATAAACTGTTTGATCTCTATTTGTCGGCTTCAATTTACTAGTGATTCTAAATTAAATAAAATTATAATATAGGAAAATGTCGGCAAGATATGATAGAGCTATTACAGTTTTCTCACCGGATGGACATTTATTGCAAGTAGAATATGCCCAAGAAGCTGTACGGAAGGGCTCAACGGCGGTAAGGGTTTTACTTAGTCCTGTTTAGAATATAATTTAGTTTTACAGTAGTAAAATATATAAATAACCATTATTCCAGGTGGGTGTACGCGGTAATGATGTAGTTGTACTAGGCGTTGAAAAAAAGTCCGTAGCTAAACTTCAAGAAGAAAGAACAGTTCGAAAAATATGTCTGCTTGATGATCATGTTGTTATGGCTTTTGCCGGCCTAACGGCTGATGCTCGTATTCTCATAAACAGAGCACAAATTGAATGTCAGTCCCATAAACTTACTGTAGAAGATCCTGTTACATTAGAATACATAACAAGATACATTGCTGGTCTTAAACAAAAATATACCCAAAGTAATGGCCGTAGACCTTTTGGTATTTCATGCCTAATTGGAGGTTTTGATTATGATGGTCAACCTCATTTGTTCCAAACTGAACCTTCAGGCATTTATTATGAATGGAAGGCCAATGCTACAGGTAGATCAGCAAAAACTGTAAGAGAATTTTTGGAGAAAAATTATACCGCAGAGGAAGTTGCTACTGAAAAGGGTGCGGTGAAGGTATGTTTTATTATAATAAATCTTTCTTTTTATTGTGAAAAAGAATACTCAAAATGCCAAATTCACATAAGCAGTATGTTGATTGAAGGGAATTTGGTTAGTAGAAATTTGTTCCAAAAATGCTAAACATGAACTTTGGACAGATAATGAGCAACATTATTCCCTGTGTCCAAACCATCCAGTGCAGCATGGGCCTTGTTATTATCAACTTTAAACTACTAATTATGACAATATAGTGCTCCTCAATTAGCCCTCGGAGAGTTCTATTTCCACCACCAGCTTTTATTGGCTATGGATGTGATACATTCTTCCAATTTCTGTGATCTTTTGACATAAAGGCTAGTTCATTATGACAACACAATATCATTTATATTCTCTATAATTTCCTGTTTTCTAAGATCAGAGGACATAATGAAATGTCAGAGCTCGGGGTAAATCTGAGAATCTATATTTGAAAACATTAAAAAGGATTTAAGGTAATGTTACAAATCGTTTGAGATTTTTGTTATGAAAAAATATTTTTTTAAAAACATTCTACAAAACATTTTCACTTTTATAAATAAATATATAATTTTGACAATTCCTTGATTTATAATTGCAATGCAGATGTGTTGTCACTCCTAAAAACTGATGGAATGCCAGTAAAACAAGTAAAAAAGGTATTCACTTCTTGTCACTTACAATACGAACACAGTAGTATTGCTGTATATGTATATGCTGCTATTTAACACTTTTATTCTATTAAAATAAAATTGTGAAACATTCCCACAATAAATTATTTTGAGCACACACCCAATCAAATCAGTAACTCAGCAGAATGATATATTGAAAATTAAAAATATGTAGAGCAGATGTATAATACTGAGATTACTATAATACTGTCTTCATAACATTTATTTGTTATTCACCATCTTATAGTCAATTTCATTTTAGTTTATTAAAACTCATTTTTGTCACTAATGCTATAGCTTGGCACTAAGATTAACAATGATAGTATCAGTCATCTTGTAAATACTTGTACCTTTAGATACTGCTCTCTGTCATATGACTGTGTATTTTATAATTAATTAGATTGATCTTTATCAACCCGTGACAGTCTAGTGGTGGACATGTTAGGTTAGGTTAGATTGATCATCACACTTAAATTATATATTATACAAAAATGAAATGAAAATGTTAATAAATACAGTAAATACATCAATACCTAATATCACACCTAATATGTTAACATTATGGGGTGCAACTGGCTCAGATATTTATTATTATAAAATCTTAGTGATTTAAGCAAATTGTTTTTTATGGTAACCAATTTTGTTTTACTGTGGCGTCAGTATATTTACTTTGTTTTGTTAACGTGGAAAACCAATATCAAAAATATTGGGCAACCCAAATATTTCATACAGTGGGTATTATAATATGGTTAAGATTCCATAACATTCAAATATAATATTCAATAATGTTTTAATCACAATTTTTTTCAATTCAGTTTTGTATGGTCTTTGTTTTTTTTTTACTTTACTTTATCGAATAAAATGTACAGCCATTGTAACTTAAAGATAGCTTGTTTAGTAACAAATGCCAGGTGCTTCGCTTTTAAGATATATACCTGGGCTTAGCTACGTACATCTATCCTTTTTTCTGTTCTGTGGTAGCTAATTTTTTAACTCATTTATTAAAATCATAATTGTGCAATAGCTGCATTCATATTCACCAACTATAATTATTCCTTTATAGCTTGCCATACGTGCCCTATTGGAAGTAGTACAGTCCGGACAAAAGAATTTAGAGATAGCAGTCATGAGACGCAATCAACCCATGCAAATGCTTGATATTGATACCATTAATTCATATGTATCAGTTATTGAAAAGGAAAAGGAAGAAGAAGCAGAAAAGAAAAAACAAAAGAAATAACGAGAAGAAGCTTGTATTTTTACATTACATATAATAAAAGGTGTTACATATAACTATATAAGCAGTTTTATTTTTACTGCTACAAATTATATTAATGACAGTAAAGTTACAAATGAATTGTCTGAGAGATTTGGGTATAGAGCTCCTTTAAATTTGATGAACATTCCTGTGTGGAACACTTGCTGGTCATAATATCATTAAACATTTGATCCCATTCACTATGATAGTGATTTGTATTTGCACTGTGCTTCTGAAATTAAAATGATTATAAAACTCAACAATATTACTTAATATTAAAACTTCTTTGATAAACTCAACTTACCTCTGCTATAGACACATCATCATTATGATCATTGCTTATGGATGGGAGTACACAGTTTAAAAATTGTTGGTCATTCGTTTCAGTTTCTGCTTTACTTGTAATGCCATGGTTCTTTTCTTCTATGTTGAATTCTGCTAATAGCTCAACACCAGAAGCTACATCTGATGGTTCAGGGTCAAGGTCTGGCATATTTAAAAACTGGCCAGGGAAACTATCAACATTTTGTTGACAGGAGTCATCACTAAAACTCATTATGTTATCTTGTGCCTTATTCCTATAATGACACTTCAATTAAAGTAAGTAAAGGTATCAATATTCTAATAAAGTTGTTCATTACTCACCCATATTTTTGCAGTTCAATGTTATTAATAACAAAATCATTTTCTTGATCATCTTTTTCTGCAGGTAGGTCCAAAGGATATTAATATAAAGGAAAAAGGATGGAATGAATGGACTGGAATAAGGATAAAAACCTGTACTGTCTTGTTCCTTCTGTATATCATTGCTTTGGCTATTGGGGATTTGCCAGTCAATGGAAATACTTTCTTCTTCACAAAAATCATCTCGTGCATCTACAAAAAAAATATAGTTTTACTACTACCACTATAACAAGATATGATAGTTTGCTTTATTAAAATGATTTTGTTCTCATGGTTTTGATGTCAGGTCAGAACATCAGCAAAAAACACTATCAGATGCATTAAGATAATTTTGTGCTATCAGATAAAAGCAATAGCTTTTATCTGATAGCACAAAAATTATTCAGGTAAGACATTGTGTAAAATAATAATCAGAAAATCATAATGGCCCAAAGACACTCCCTTGCGGGTACACTATAATGTACCTGTCTAAATTTGATATAACTTATTTCTCATTTTATTTTTGTACAAACTTGAGTTGACTTGGGATAGTGGATTATTTTACACTGCCAAACATGGCATTGTAATGATATTACTATTATTTATAATTTTATTATCTATGTAAATAAATAACTTAAAGGTTTTTTATAACCTTTTACTTTTTTGTAATTGCATCTTAGGTTATTAATTGCCGTGGTAGCTCAGATGGTAAGCGCTCGCTGTAAATTTCACAGTACGCGAGCAAACCGGGTTCGATCCCCGCCGGCACCAATGAAATTGTTAATTGCAATTTTAAGTGCTGATTTACCACGTGCTCAGCGGTGAAGGAAAACATCGTGAGGAAACCTGTATGTCTGAGAAATAAGAAAAAAATTTTTTTCGTAGACATGTGAAGTTCGCCAACATGCATTGGAGCAGCGTGGCGGACACTTCCTTGTCCTAATACCCTCTCAGAAATGAGAGGAGGCTTGTGCCCAACAGTGGGACATATAAAGGCTGTAACTTTACTTTTTTTTATTAATTGCATGTGCCTACAACTCGAAATTCTCAAAACTCTGGAAATCTCTGACTGCCGTCCATTCCCCATCCTCAGGAAATTAAAATTCTGAAACTGCCCTTGCAGACAGGATTGTGGAAAACTAAGCGGGCTAAATGGCTTAAGGCTACCCAATGTCAGCAGATACATATCCAAAATGCCTTCAAATAAACCCTAAAACTATGTATTACTCTAACAGTTCCTTTTATTAATATAGTATTTTCCATAGGCTTTATGAACAATCCTCTATGCAGAACCTGCTTGGAGTGTGAGCAACTAGCATAGCTGCCAGCCAAGTACCTTGGCAATATACAGATTGACTAAGACCACAAATAAAGCTCAGTAGCTTGTATTATATGCATTATTGATTACATAAGAATCAAACACTTTATTTTAATACCTATTCTACAGTTTGCCTGCAATGACAATAAAAATATAGGACAGATTTGGGTATTTGACACAATTGAAAAATTTTTAAGAGTTGTTTAAACACTAGTTTGATACGAGCACCAGCTAAGTTATTGTTACAGCATGGGTCAGGCTAACTAAAAGAGACTGCTCACTCAGCAACAAAAAAATAGCAAATAATGCTGCTGGTTTGTGTATGGTGAATGTAGAGAACCGAAATCCTTTTTAATGATAACAAGAAAAGTATTCCATTACAGTCCTCAGGAGTGAAAACGCATCCGTAATAATTAACATTAGAAGTGAGTCACATGGAATCTTTTTTGCATTCACTTACAAAAAATCTATATAAATTGTACAAAACTGAATCCTTCACTACTTTTTATAATATTTTATTATAAAAAATACTAATTTTCATATTCTATTCAATAATTATAACTTAGTTACTTTTTAGACTATATTGTAAATAATGTGTAAGTAATAAAATCTGGTTAGCTAAAAAAGTGAAATTTCTATTACCTACTAATTTTTAATGGGTATAGATCTAATGATAGACTATTATGTAATGTTTAGAAGCCTGAAGGAAAGGCTCACAATTTATTTACAATACAACACATAATCATTATTTCACACAAAATCTTACCTAAAATATGGCTTTTCTTTGATAGCACAAAATGACCCTAATATACTATTCTGTTATTTAAATATTAAAAATATAGACGAGGCATTTATACTTTATTTTCCATTGGCTACATATACTCAGCTCCTATTTTACTTTTGTACTTATACTATATAATTTCCTATTTAACTTTCCTTACTTTTGTACCTATAAATAACTTTGATTAAGTGTATAAATTCGATATTACCTTCAAAATCATGTGTAATGCTGGAAAATCGTTTTGGTGAATTCTGAACACACAAGTTTTGAGCAGTTTTTTTTAATGCAAGTCGTAATGCCCGTCGTGCTTTTTGCAGTGGAGTAAGAAATGCACTTTGGTCGGTGCTACTGAAAATGTTCTATGAATTGTACATTTAATGGCATTCATATGATAATATACAAATAGGTAAAAACAGCATTATCAATTAAGGTTCCGTTATATTACCTTGCTTTTGAAACTTCGTTTTAAAGTCAAAGCTTTTCGTGTGATCTTATTTAGTAATTCTGGCCTTCCATATTGGAAAAAGTCATGAATATATTCATGCATGTACGGATTACTTGAATTGCATAGTGGATCTTGTAGATGCGAAGTTACTTTTCGAAAACCGTACAAGTTAAGTTGCCTTACGAAACTTGATATATTCGTTGTTTTAAAAATAGAATCATCACATTGAAGATAATCATAAAGAATTCTATAATTTAATAAAATTGTTCTACCAGTACCACCCCATAATATTGCATCAGTACGCAAACTAAGCAAGTACCACAATTTCTGAGGAAAACGCATTTGATAAAGTGCATTTTTATGTTCTTCCATGTTATGTTAGAAAAGTATAATTCTCGAAGAATAATTTATTATTCGTATATAATATAATCGTTTAGTTTCAATTACTTCGCAAAACTTTAAAAATGGCGCCGTCCGTGTAGATTTTTATTAAGATTTTGGTATGAATGCTTGTCTTTTAAGCCATATCTTAATTTCATTCGGGATTTTCGTTTTTATAGATTTCGTTTCAAGTGTAAATAATCCTTTACAGTACACTGCTTTAAAATGTGTTGATGTGTCGTCACATTGCGTAGTTTTTGCTAGTTCAAGTTCTCGCCAAAATCCCTTATAGATTTTGTAACGCACAGAACAAAAAAATGACCTAGATATTTTCTATTTTGAACTTCCCGCTAGGAAAATCAATGATTTTATGAAATGCGGATGTTATTGTTTTCACCCTTTGAGTATTAAACCAAAGGATTGCAACCATTGCAAGGAATACCCTGTCAAAGGTACGAGAGTCCGACTTATACCCGTTATACAAAACTGGTTGCTCCGCGTCGTGCGCCATTCCGCAAGTAATCGTGCCAGTCTATTGAGCGCTGACAAAAATACCGAATTGAAGTGTATTTTTATTCAAAAAGCATTTAAAAACGTGAAATCTACAAAAGAATAATGTGACTTTTCATCTGTGAATATTTTTTAACATAATATCGTATTTTATAAATATTTTCATAAAATACCAAGTGCTGCCATCATAGTTCATGAAGTCAAAATAAGCTTTTCTTAAATAAATGTAATACTCTGCTCAAAATAAATATTTTAACGAAAATTAAATTCATATTAACTAAATCAGATTGTGATGAATAATAAATCATTACATTAAAATGTGTAGTGTATTTTGTCACATTATTTAAATATTCGGCTCAATATCGACACGATTATAAAAATAATATAATTTAATGTAATCGATAACCAGTATTTATCAAAATATTGTACAAAATAAAGGCCAAAAAAGTCAAAGCGCAACTTGCCACTTTGTAGCATCTGTATACAATTTTTTTTATATAAACTGGTATCACTGCAACCAAAAGTACTGTAATGTAGTAACGAACGCCACAACTTCAGCTATCGATAAGTTAATTAACCTTTCGGGGTTGTCTGCCGAACAGGTTTTTTTATATTTTGTTTAGATTTTATAATACAGTATTACAAAAAGCAGTACATTTTTTTTATTATTGGTTTGATGTTACATATTTCCTAGAAATCATCTTAGGTGCCAGATTTGGATTGTAGCTTGTAGAAATCATAAATCTCGGATACCTAAACGGACTAACACTATTTGCTGTAAATCAAGAAAAATTAAACTAAAAAATGTCTCGAAATAAAAAGCAATAGCATAAAAAGACTTCAATTGCATTAACGGTATTTAAAGGAAAAAGTTAAAAGTTTGCAAGAAATACTACATTTGCTGACAGAGACATCTTAGATAAATAAAGAAAACAATCAGGTACCAGAAAAGATAGGAATTGAAGAAAGCGAACTTTTAAAGAGACAATTGAAAGTAAGACCGGAACTAAATATTTCACAAAGTTTGTTTCACAATGTATCGCACTAACACTTGACTTATTAAAGAAAAGCTTATCGCTATGTACGTAAAATTTTAAGAACATGTGTGCCTACATCACGGATATTGACTAAGTGGATTTTAGAGCTACTGAGTAGTTTAGCAGCACACTTCAAACCGTCGACAACTGCTATAATTATAACTTCATTTCATCCCAGTAGCTACTCCAGCGCTGTTGTGGAGAGTTTTTGAACTGTTATTTACTGTTTACAGATGGCCACTTTTTCAACTATTCTACTATGGGAGTTGGTACTCCTTACTTCTACACTCCATACTCAAAACGTTGAGCTCACCAACTTTATAATTTTTGGAACTCAAAGCTTGGTGCAATGCTCTTTAACATTGAAATGTCAAATATAAAAGAATATTTAAATCGGATTAGAATTCGAAACTTTTATTATATTTGTTCTTGGATTATTTGAATGAGGATCTTACCTACCTTGATTTTCCTTCGAAAGTTCCTTGAAAATATCTTAGATTACCCACTTAGCGAATATTTGCGATTGCTGTACAATTTGTTTTTTTTGTTTCATTTTCACTATTTTATTAAAATATTTTGAGTGTAGTTAATTTAATTTCTTTTTTATTTGTTGTTATAATTATTAAGTAAGATTCTTTGAATTTGATTTGTTATTGTGTAATATAGGGTTTTTAGTTTTAATTGTAAAAATATCTGTGTTTGATTTGTTGCGTATAATAATAAAGTTTTGTTTTTGTTTTAATATAGATATTTAAGTAGGTAGTACTTTGTTTTAGAAGTTTTGTGTGGTTTGTTTTTCGCAATTTTCTTATACTAATAAAGAATTCAAATTGGTGTAATCAGTAACAATAACCCCAAAATCCCGACATTTTCGAATTTTGTCCAGATATTTTGGTCTTCCGATCTGGCATTCCTGTCCCGTGTCCGTTTTACCAGATCAAATCAAGAGCTTCGTGTTCATAAAATATACTAAAATTTTTTTTTCATGTTTATTTAACCTTTAAATCCCTACACTAGAATAAAGATTGTTTTATTACTAAGTATTCACACATTTTAACATAATAATTTACATGTTATAACAAAATTAATGTAAAATACCAATTAAAAATCCTATTAAAACCATTTCTACGCGGACGAAGTATCAAGCAAAAGCTAGTTAGCTAACTTTAATAAATTATTGTAGACTTAATTAAAACCCATAATCATTTGCCGTTTAAAAAAGGTAGTTGTAGGAAACTTAAACACAAACACAACAAAAATAGTAATTACTAGCTTCTGCCTGTGACTTAGCGAGAAATTTATTGTTCTCCCGACTCATATCCCGTCAGATCGCATTACCTGCTCGCGCTATCACTTCGTTTTCGATTAACATTTTCTCTGACGAACTTTTGCTTAGCTTCTAAGGGTGATAGCGTGGTGTTACATAGCCTAGGCTATAGAATTTCTCAAGAATTGGGCTATCAAATCAAAAATATTTTTTTCAAATCCGACTGGCCATAGATTACCCCCTGCATACCAACAAATTTCATCTCTTTATAATATTAGATGGTAGTTCTGCCAATGTAGCCCGTGAAATTAAAATTTTCATCGTCTTTTTTGCAAACTGTAGCTCTGTATTAGCGAATGTTGATCACAATGTGATTGATACACGACAAAAACTAAACTATTATTAAAACAATTCTATTTCAATTAAAAAATACCACCTACGGGTCTTTGATGGAACCACCACCAAAAATAAGTCCTACAGTTTAGACGTGATGATGACGAACATAGAAACAACTTAAATGAAAGGCTTGGGGTATTTCTACACACAGATAGTATGTCGCGTGTCCGTGGCCATATGAAAACATTTTCACAATTTTTTATCGATGTTATTTTTATAGAAATATCAATATGGTCAGCCCTATTAACCACCAATTTATCCTTTCAGTGAAGTGTAGGTATATACGTTTTTCTTGTAGGTATACCAGGTCCATGTTTTATATACGTCTGCAAACAACTCAATCATCCCCGTGACCACAAAGCCACAGACTACTAAAAGGATACTAAGCATCACGTGACCATGAGTTCTATATTGAAGAACCCGAAACGTCGGGAATTAAAAATAAGTTAAACTTGATAAAACAAGAGATAACCGCCATTTAAAATTTGCTTACGTTTCATACACATAATGCCGTACAATTTTTACCACAGAGTACCCTTGCATAATCTGAATTTTTTTACTATGGAAGTTGCACCATCCTGACTAAAGATGGTGAATATAGCGCATAGCGCCATATTATAGCGTGCTATCTCCCCATAGCACATAGTGTGTGCTATATAAGTAGTCGCCAGGGTGCTATGGCGCCATGAAGCTTTGGCGCTATTAAGTAATAATATCTAGCGGCAACTAGTTCAAACAGCAACAGTGTTAGGATTGGACGTGTGACGCTTTGATCTAGTGGCACGCTATTCATCGCGCGCGACCTATTTTAGTCTTAGACGTAGTTTAGTTCGTGTATACTGTATATTTATGTGAGCGAAGGTCACAGTTGTCTACTACAAAAGTAGCCAACTAATGTTTTTAATCGTAAATAAAATATACATACGAAATTGTATATAACAGTGTATGTACATAGATGATTTTTGTGTATATAATCAATAAAGTTTTAAATGCGCCTTTAATTGATTTATTATTTACATTAAGGTTAAAATAACGTTAACATCGATTATACAAAGTCGTAAATCTGAAAAGTATGAAAGAGTGTTCATTGGATTTTCTTTACCGCTTTATCTTATTTTAGTCTGAAATGCGACTTATTACGAAATAATGTTCTTATATAGCACGCGGTATATCCAACGAACGACAAGTAATGTAACGTGCTACGAGATATAGCGTGCTGCAAAACTTAACGCGCTTGACGGCTATCTTCACGCTTATAAATAGCGCGCCATAACATAGCGTATTTAATAGCGCGCTAGAAATTCATAGTTTATAGTCTGTAGCGTGTTATTGATTTATAGGGTATGTTCTGAAATGTTTTCAGTATATTGTCAAATACAAATGACGTTATCTATCGTTAACCACTATATTGTATTGGCGTGCCGCTCCCATGTTGCGTCGGATATCCGGCCATAATAAAACAATTTTTAATTGTGTGTGCCCTGAATGAACCATGCCAGAATTTGTTTTTATATATTCAAATATAAAAAATTATAGAATAATTGCTGTTATCTCCATTAGGAGGATTTAATGATTTTTGGAGTTCAAAATGACAAAATAATCGCCAACACTTTTCTAATATGGCCCAAATGTATGGCGTATGACGTCATATACTGTCCTATGTTTTGGAACTAGTCACCAGTATAGCGTCGATTCATGATGTCATTTGCATTGGACAGTACACTGGGTTCTATTTTGAAATATACCCACGTCATATAGTCGTTTTGATCATGAAGGTCAGAGAACAGGAGAACGATCACTACGTACTAAAACATAGCCCGCCTGTCCTTGAAAATTGAAAAATATATAGCGGCACTGACGTCGGTGAGTAGTGACTGCGAAGTTAGCTGTTTATGTACAAGTAGATGAATTTAGTTGATTAATGTACAAATTTTCATTTCATTTTTAATGAGAAAATTTTCATGCTCCGTAATTTTTTAATTTTTGATAAAAAAGAAACATTAACCTTCAAGCGGGCGCGCGGTCATTTGTAACGGGAGCGGTCGCGCATAACCGAAAAGACCTATGGGATGAATAAGAGAAATAAAGCACTAATTATTCAATATTTATTTATTTATTTGTACTCAGATATATTATCATTGCCTGTAAAGTCTGATTTGTCAAAAAAAAAAGTCATGTAATTAAAATTATGAAAAAGAAACAATTATTAAATTAATTAACATAACTCAAATATGCTTTGAATGAAAACGAAAATTAGGAACACAAAACCCTTTTACATATCTCAGACTAGTTTATATACTAGTCTAATAATAAAAATTACAAAATAAAAATAAAAATTAATTAACTTTGGCTTAGTTTTCATCACAATCAGTTCCTTCGTCCATATAACATTGATTGCAAATAAATGTTGTATGACTTCTGCAAATATTTTTCATACATAATTTACATTGCGTTTTTGATTGCCTCCTTTTTTTGGCCGGACATATTTTACAGGTTCCTCTGCATGTGCCAGAACTACCTGCTTCTGTATCAGCTGCACTATCCTCCATATTCAAATGCTCCATTATGTTTCTTTTTAGTTTTCTTGGAAGGCCTAACATCGTTGATCTTCTTTGGACGTACTCTTTTATCAATCCAGTGCCTAATGCCCGTAAATACATTCGCCTTTTCCGTAGAGTCACATTATTTGCCCTCAATATCACCATAATATTTATTCCTGCAATATCCAGAAGATGAAAGAAGAGTGTCAATGAAACTTCTCTTATTGGCGCAGCTTTGTCTAGAGTACGACGAGCTTGTCGCGTAGTAGCATCATCAAACCGCAATGAATTCAGTAGAAATTTTACTCTTTTAACTGAATAGTAGTAGGAAAAATAGGAATACCCCCATCACTTGCATAAAAATCTTCTAAATTGGCGTGTGATGTCTTCAAGGATCCCGCTACGTACAACAATCCGAAAAGTGCTCGAATTTCCACCGCATCTGTCGGTTTGCAGGCACGTATTTTGTTATACGATGGCGCTTTTTTTTTTTGAATAATATCGTTGGTATATCTAACAACTTTTTCAATAATATTCTCTGAAATAAATAAACTCCAGGCTTGCGTAAATGTTGTCACTCCCACACCATTCCTACGAGTGCCCGCATCTTCCGTGAGAATATTTTGAACTTGACGCCTCACTCTGTTATTGTTAGATTTTTGCCACTTCGTTACTTTATCGCCACCTGTAAAACAGATACTTATTTCTGAAAGTGGCAAATCATACTCTTCTGAGTCCGAGCAGTTTGATTCCTCAGCAGATCGAGGTTCCTCCGCAACGATGTGGTCGGAAGTTTCAGAGCCTTGGTCGCTGAGCTCTGATTCACTTTCTTCTTCGTCTTCTCTTAGTAATTCCTCGAGTATTTCACTTTGTGGTAACCGTCTAAGCCTCATTTTATATAAAAAAATCCAAGCTTAATTCAATAATATTGAATGATGGCCGAAGAACTACCACGAGCGTGAACGAGGGTATGTCCCGTTGAGCGTCGCGCGTAACCTTTTCGACGACAGGCGCGTGTAGTCTTTTCGACGACTGCACCGGGCCTAAAACAATTGCGATCTGTGCAGTGGGGGGAGCGCCCCGAGCGACGGTTTATTCTTTATTTTACTCCCAATGACATAGCGACAAGCTACTAGAAATGAGAAATAAATGTGATGGGTAATAATAATAATATGAACGAAAATGTACTAAGCGCGGTCGATTCGACTACGCGCGCCCGCTTGAAGGTTAACAAATGGAGAAATAATTTATTGTGCGTGGATGTGCAAGCGGTTTAGCATCTGATCGGTAAAATAGACTGAAAATGACTTATAGTGTCCATATTTCTTGGACACTATTTTCTACGGCGATCGTTCTCCTGTTCTCTAACCTTCATGGTTTTGATAATCCTGACAGCCCACAGATATACCTATACCTATATATTGCTGACAGCCTGTCAATTATCAATTATCATTAAGAGTTTTAGCGGGAAATTGGCCGACGACGGACTGTCGCTCCTGTTTGTCGCTTGAATAATAGTTTGAAATGGATTTTAATTCGTAAAAGTGATGTGATTTTGTGAATTAAGTGTCTGCGCGTGTGAACTATTAGAGAAAACGACGAAACAAGTGCTTTAATGTCGACATAAACCTCAAGTTATTTTGATCGCTTAGAGGCCTTATGAACTTGAGTGGTTGTCGTCATAAACTGTCCGCTGGGTTGAGCTGTTGTTAAAATCCCAAGGGCTTCGCAATGTGACGCATCAGCATATTGTGAAGAAAAGAAAAAAAAACGCGGCAATCTTGAAACTTGGTTGTTAAATATATATGGATTGAAACTTATAAAGATTATAATATAAAGAGGACTTGACTTTGTGGTTTTTGAAAATATGAAGAATTAAAGACAATAAGACTTATCTTCGGCCTTTATGGACTTTGAAGAGATGGAAAGAAGAAAAATAAAAATTGTTTCCGTATTATACATACATACATACATATAATCACGCCTCTTTCCCGTAGGGGTAGGCAGAGACCACTTCTTTCCACTTGCTACGATCCTTACATACTTGTTTCGCTTCGTCTACTTTCATTATTCCCTTCATACATGCTCTACGGTTTAGGGTACTCTTAACCTGGCCTTTTTTCAAGACGTCCCTAATTTGGTCTAGAAAAGTCCGCGTAGGTCTACCCCTTTCAGCACTTCCATTCACACTCGCCTTATACACTTTTTTCGTCAATCGTTCTTCATTCATTCTCTCGATGTGGCCAAACCATCTCAGCATACCTTTCTCAATTTTTGTCACTACATCTTCTTTCAGACCACAACGTTTCCTTATCTCACTATTTCTTATCCTGTCACTCAGTTTAACTCCTATCATACTTCTTAATGCTCTCATCTCAACTGCATTTATTCTACTTTCATGTTTCTTCTGCCATACCCAACTTTCACTTCCGTACATGAGTGTCGGAACCAACACCCCCCTCATGCACAGCCAAACGAGCCTTGTTAGACACTTTCCGACTGCACATAAAGGAGTGCAAAGCTCCATTCACCATGTTTCCTGCATTCACTCTTCTTTCGATATCACTCTCACACTTTCCATCTCTTGTAAACTTTGACCCCAGATGCACAAACTCTTTCACCTGTTCAATTTGTTCATCTTCAATCACGATATTGCAGTCTGTCACTGCCTCATCTTTCCGTATTATTGGTTCTATATATTCAAATTTAAAAAGAGACAAGGCTGTATGACTTAGTTCCTTTGCTCTCTCGAGCGAATAATAAAAACAACAACAATCAATAATTATCAGGGTGCGTTTGGCAGAAAAAGCACTAGCAAGCGCTTGTAAGCAAAATGGCGAAACTAAACAGTTTTCGGACACGATTGCTAACTTCAGTAGCGCTAAGCGCTGACACCTCACACAATCGGCCCTTTTGTTTATTTAATTTGTTTTGAAGTATATATACATATTATTAAAAATTCATGATTGGTAAGTTTTTAACATAAATACTTTAGAAACATATATTTAAATTAGGCTAGGTTCCCCGGTTAAAACTAACTTCGTGTCCTATAGGAAAATAGCTACTTACGATTTGACAGAGCTTACCGCTTACGATTGCCATTTTGCTTACAAGCGCTTGCTAGCGCTTTTTTTGTGCTAAACGTAAACGCTACCTTCTCATTTTCTCATGTTTTTGTTAAATCATTCCGGCATTTTATCTTCTTTTTGTTAAAATTAAAAGTCATAACTGTTCTTATGTGTCTGGTGCTAAGTTAGGAAAAATTGAGTTACAGATTATTTTAATTTTAAGAACATAATGAAATGAATGACACAAATGAATTTGCGACAAAACATTCATTGATGTTTTCAATAATTTGAAACAGTCCTATTGTATACGTTATTAATATGAACAGATCAAGGTATGGAAGCTTAGTCCTTTTTTGTAGATGGGCCAAATCATAGGATATCTTCATAAGTACCTACATATTCCATGTTTGTTTGTATCACATAAAGAAATCTTAAAATTTAGAGTGGGATCTGTAAATTGACAATGTTCCCAGGCAAATGGCTTCGTAGATTTTGCTAAATGCCAATTAAATCACAGCAAAACATATTAAAGAAAAGATAATAACTTGAATAAAAATTATTTCATAAATTTTGCATTTATTTTAATTTATTTTAGTTCTCAATGTTTTGAGTGCTTTGAAGCAGCCATGGCCACAGGGCTGACATTAGGACATTGAAATGTTGGTTGCCTATTACTGCATTGAACTTACTGTTGTGTTCTGGTTAAAAAAGTATAATGACATGTTGTAAGGCATTTTATCATAATTTTCAAGGATCACAATGCATTTGTGTTCTTTACTTAGAAGTTGTTACATGTCTATGGAATGCAGTAGACACTCATAAGGTGGACTGTAAGCTTGTATAACTAAAAAAAATATTTAAATACTAAAAAGTTTAGTATGCTATCTATGATCATATATTGAAGTAACAATTTTAAGTAATAATAAACAAAGAGGCACTTTTATTTTATAGAAGAGGGGGCAAATGAGCATGCGGCTCACCTGATGTTAAGTGACTACCGCCGCCCATGATCGATCGCAACACCAGGGGAATTGCAGGTGCGTTGCCGGCCCTCTAGAAAGGAGTACGCTATTTTCTTGAAGGTCCCCAGGTCGTATCGGTCCGGAAAAATTGCTGGTGCTAAACTATTTCACAGAGAGGTTGTATGCGGAAGAGAAACTCCTCTTGAAACGTACAGTGGTGGACTGCGAAGCATCCAGATGGTGTGGATGGTATCGGGACGTTTGCTGCGTAGTGCATTCACGTAATTTGGCAGCTGGGATTAATCCGAACAATTCCTCAGAGCACTCTCCATGGTATATGCGAAAGAAAATGCAAAGAGATGCAACATCTCTTTGCAGTGGCAGTGAATCGAGCCGATCGGAAAGCACTTGGTCATCGACGATTTGAGCCGCTCTGCACTGGATGCGGTCAAGTGGAAGGAGCTGGTACTGGGGAACCCCAGCCCAGAGATGGGAACAGTATTCCATGTGTGGCCGAACTTGCGCCTTGTAAAGTAGCAGGCGGTGTGCCGGCATGAAATACTGACCCGCTCTGCTGAGCACGCCACGCTTTTTAGAGGCCAATTTGGCCTTCTCTTCCAAGTGACCATGAAACTGCACCTCACTCGATATGTCGACGCCGAGGATTCCGATACTGGCTGAGGCAACAAGGGGAGTGCCTTGAAACTGAGGAGATACGACAAAGAGGTTCTTTTTAGCGGTTAACATGCAAACTTGTGTCTTCTGAGGATTAAACTGGACTAGATTTAGTCGCCCCCAATCCGAGACTGTTCAGCAAAGACTTGACTTCAGACACAAGTTTGTCCCGGCACTCGGAGACGTTTTCCCGAGAAATATTGGCTCGGCCGGTGTAAAGAGCATCACCAGTGCTGTCATCTGCATAGCAATGAATGTTACGGGTTTGCAACATATCATTGATATGCAGAAGAAACAGTGTTGGCGATAGCACGCAGCCTTGTGGAACACCAGCATTAATAGGCTTGCAATTGGAGCTTGCACCGTCTACAACGACCTTGATGCCCCGATCTGCAAGAAAGCTTGTGATCCAATCGCACAATTTCTCAGGAAGCCCATAGGATGGGAGCTTCGAAAGAAACGTTTTGTGCCAAACCCGATCGAAGGCCTTCGCAATGTCCAAACTAACGGCCAATGCCTCCCCCTTGGAGTCTACTGCCTCCGCCCATCTGAGTTAGGTAGACCAGAAGATCACCAGCTGACCGACCACAGCGAAAACCGTATTGGCGGTCATTAATCAGCCTTAATTAATTAATCACTTCAATTATTAACATTTATTTGGTCTTTCAGAGAAGGACTGGTTAAATTTTAAATATCAAATATATATTTTTTTAATGGAATACTGCTACACTATAAATTAAAACCATTCTATCACCTATATTTGTTTTTTGATTATGAAAATTTTCATTGGTTTAGAATAATAAAAATTTTGAAATAACACCAATATTGTAAATCATCATCATCATCATCATTACAGCCCTTCACAAGTCCACTGCTGAACATAGGCCTCCCCCAAGTAATGCCACAAAGTACGGTCCTGAGCCACCTGCATCCAACGACTTCCTGCATATCTTACCAGGTCTTCACTCCATCTAGTGGGGGGTGGCCGTGTAGTGGGGTTAAGAATATCCACTACCCCATATCTTCCCGTGGGTGTCGTAAAAGGCTACAGAGGGAAACAGGCAGGAGATGGGCAGCAGCATCTTCCTGATAACAGCAACTGTACAAAAAAAACTGCGGTTGCCAACCCGCTCGCCAAGCGTGGCAACTATGGCAATGTACCCCCCATAAAGAATTACACAAATATTGTAAATGTGATGGTTTATTACAAATGACTTACAGGTTTTCAATGCTGGTGCTTGAACCTGGTGAAATTTATTTTGAAGATTTCTCATGCATTATGAATATACAAGAATCAAAAACATTAGGTCAAGTTAGAAATGGCCACTTAAAACTTTGTTCTAAATCACTGGTGTTCGAACCTAAAGAATGGGTCTACCCACTAACGAAATTTCACTTTAAAGATTGTTGTGATATCAGTATTGTAAAACCAAAGTACGATAATGACATAAAAAATGTTATTAAAATAAAGATGAGGCAGTATTCTGAAATGTTAGAACAAAATATTGTAGCACCGTATAAATTTAAGTATGAAAATAAAGATTTTTATTTTTTCTTTGATTTTGCTTCTGCCGAGGAATGTCTAAACCAAATGCAGCAATTGCAAAGAGCATCTACTTTACATGCACCTGAACACAATAGCATGGTGGCTACAATTCTACATTCACGTTACATGAGAATGGTATTTGACCCTGTTATGATGGAAGACTTCACAGAAGAAATTATGTGTGAATTGCAAGTAGAAAAAATATCACCCCTTGTAAGGCATCAAGGAAAATTAGCACTGACACCCTCAACACTGTACTTCCAGCCTTTTAGTAATATTGAAAATGTAAGTTTTTACCAAGATGATATTGTATATCTACAAATGTAATGGAAGCATTTTACACACATGGTCATATATGAATTTTCTCCTTTAGTATTTCAAGTGTATTGAAAATGTGTAATGTTGCAATATATGTTTATGTATATTAGGAAAAAAATGGTAATTATTAAAAAGGATATAAGCATTGGTGATAATATATTTTTGGTATAGTTGGTGATTATTTACATATAATATTAATTTAAATTATGTTTATTATATATTATAATCATTTGGTTTTCAGAGTCCTATATTTAAGCTGAAAATGGAAGAGATGAGAAAAATGTATAAAAGAAGATTTCTATTAAGGCAAGTTGTATGTATCATAGTACTTCATGTTACTTCTAATATTTCTGTCTCAATATGAACATTCTTATGATAATATATAAAAAAATTGTCTAATGTCCCTCAATAAAAATAATAGTGTTAACAAATGTTAGTACAACATACTCTATTTATTAATATCAAAATAGTAATATTTAGAGTTAGACTTTAGATTTATATATTGACACTAGAGCAAATATTTTTTTGTAAAACAACCCATTTATATTACTGCTCTTGTCCTATGTTTGGTTCATGACAGAGATAATTTTATAAGTTAAGAACCTCCTTAAATTTCTATAACCACCATTTTTAGACAACTTGCAAACACACTTAACTAACATAAAAAATAAATCCTTCCTGTATTGTTCTAAAGAAGTGATAAATTTAAAAATTTTGTACAACCGACTTCAATATAAATTAAAATGAGAACATCGTCAATGTAGTCAAAGTCAATTAAATACGCTTTTTAAGGATAGTTCAAAAACTACCGGTCAGATCATGATCTAATTTATATGGGACCACATGAGAATTCAAATAAAAAAGAATCATCAAATTGGTTCACTTAAAAAAAATAGTTGAGTACTAACACACATAAAAAAACAGTTGAGTACCTTTTCTTTTTGAAGTCTAACTAATTTCAAAAAGAAAAGAAATCAAAATTGGTTCAGTTAGATGAGTGGATTTTTTCAATTTTTCATAGGTAGCTTGGTTATTTGGGTACAGAGTGACTGCAATAGAGATTGTTGGAAACCTATTCTTCAAATTTCTCACTGCCCAGATATTCTACTAAGAAACAATGTCTTGATGTGATTTTTTATTTTTGACTATCCAGGGTAGATCTGCTTTTTTATTAAAAAAAATTGTTAAAAAATCGCTTGGTAAATTTTGTTGTTTGTTTACTGTATATTAATTTACTAATAATAATTCATTATATAAACTTCATTTATTGTTCTAGGGTCTTGAGATTTATGGTGGAGAAGAAAGCACTGTATCTCACATTTACCTTACCTTTTCATGTGAAGAGGACAGGGACAGAATATACAGAATTCTCGAAGAATCGCCAAATGTTCAATTAGAAAGAGTGCATGTTGAAGAAATGACATTACAGTGGCAAAATGGCGTTGTCTCTAATTACGATTATTTGATCTATCTTAACTGGTGTGTATGCGTAATTTAAACACAATATTATTTCAAGGCTAAAGACAAGAATTTATTTCAAGATTTTTACTTTCTGACTTAGCTTCAAATATTTCTTAAATCTATTATTAACATATGAAGGGTACCCTTTTCATATAGAATAGAATAGAACTGGAGCTACACCCCTTTATGACCCACCTCACCAAAAATTCTAATCATGATCAATTATAAATATACAGGGTGTTAGTGTAAACACCGTTGTCCTTGAAACCAGTGGTTTGGTTTCACTTATAGAAAGTAATTTCAATGAAAAATAACAACTTTTTTTTTTAGTCAAATCTCAATTTTTTTCTTACAATTATTTCACCCTAGGCAACTAGGGATATACCTACAGAATTCACAACAAAAAACTCAACATATCGTATGTAGCGGCAGCGATTCGCGGTCAAGGCCAATGTCACTGTGTCAGTGTGTCAGTCTGTCGCTGCGTCGGTAGGGAATGTACGTGTTAATTTGATTTAAAACCACGCCGCGCGCCGTGCCGACATTCTACGTCGCTTTAGGTTGTAGTTTTGGTGCGAGTGTGTTTTAGTTTGTAATTATGTCCTACATAAACGTGCAGTGGAAATGTGCCTCTTCGTTCACTGAGAAACCTCTACTACCAACATGACGGTGCCCCTGCACATTTTCAGCTGCAAATCAGGGCTATGCTGGTTGAGGAGTTTCCTGGGCGATGAACCGACCTTACCCCGCTGGACTTTTATCTTTGGGGAGAAGTGAAGCGCCGAGTGTATGCAACTAAGTTCCGTAATACGTCCGAACTCAAAAGGCGAATTCTTAGTGCATTTAGAGAAATGACACTGTTGTGCTTCTAGCTTTTACGATTAATGTAAAAGCTGATCAAAATGGAATTCATTTACGAGGATTTTATTTAATAGGTAAGTGTAAATAACCAATCAATCAGGCTACACATCAACCTATACAAATCCTTTGTCTTGGCCTCGCTTTGTATGATCTTTCCGTACAATGAACGGTCAGCTTATGCTTCAAATGCCCTTTGCGTTCCAGGGCCGCGGTACGGTATACGGTAAATACGCCAAAAATCCTACCTAATGATTTACTATTATTAATGTTTAATTTTCTTTGTTGTTAAATCTAACTTACATTAATTTGGACTCGTCACGCAACACAAAGTGTAGGAATTTTTACCTGTCCTAAGCAAGTGTGAAAGTATGAAGGAAAAGTTTCATCAAGGTTATGTGTACCATTGTGTTTATATTGAAATGTTGCGTAGATAGCAAGGGCGGGCGGTGATCTTTACAGTGATTACGTCACTCGAGCGCATAGGGTATCCATGAATTTACGGACGGTGTCGGACAGAAACTTTTTTTAATTTTATAAATAAAAATAGCGTTTTTTTTTTTAAAAATCGGATAAATATTTGTATATTAAAGCCAATCACCTATGGTTTCAGTGACAACGGTGTTTACACTTACACACTGTATACAAAAGAAGAAAAAATAAAAACTGTCAAATTTAGAGCCTCCTTTTTATTGTTATACACTTTAGCTTACAGTATTTTGCATTGTATTCAGTTTGAAATTTAATTTTAGCCTTGCAGATAGAAGTAAAAATGATCTTACTCAGTATCCAGTATTTCCATGGGTGGTTGCTGATTATACTTCGGATAAGCTAGACCTGACTAATTCTGATACTTTTCGAGATTTATCCAAGCCAATGGGAGCTTTAAATTCTGAACGTTTGGAAAAATTAAAAGAAAGATATAATGAAATGAATGAACCAAAGTTTTTGTATGGATCTCATTATTCTGCTCCAGGTCTAGTATTGTTTTACCTTGTAAGTAGAATCTCATATAATTTATCCAAATATTATGTTTCAAAGTAAAGATTTTAGAAGTAGGATGCAAATGAGACATGAAAATGACACCCCTTTTGATGTTTAAGATAAGTCTATGCCACTTTCCTATTTTATCTCTTTGCATATTTTATCGCATCTACCACGGTGAGTGCTCTGAGGAATTGTTCGGACTAATTCCAGCCCCACAGTTTCACCATCGCACATCGCGACAAAACTCGCGATACCATCCATACTATCTGGATGACTGGCGGTCCACCAGTGTGCGATTTAAAAGAAGTTTTATTCCTCGCACAACTTCCTTGTGGAATCAACTACCACCAGAGATTTTTCTGGACCAATACGACTCAGGGACCTTCAAGAAAAGACCCTATTCCTTTTTAAGAGGCTGGCAACGCATCTGCAATTCCCCTGGTGTTGCAGCTGTTCATGGGCGGTGGCAATCACTTACCATCAGGTGAGCCGTATGCTCGTTTGCCCCTTGTCCTATAAAAAAAAAACATGTATCTCATATAGATGATGTAGTATATGAATCTGACCTTATACTAAAGCTAAGAACTAATAACGATAAGATGAACAAATGAGGGCTAATAATCTTACACTCAACAGAAGTTGCTAGTTGAAACTAAGTTGAACTTATTTGTCGCGTAGATGTTCACACAGTGTGATCATCAGTTGCATTTTAAATAAAAGTTTTACAGTTTTGAGTGTTGTTTATACACGAAAAATACGTCAGTGCTGTGTTTTTATGACTTTTTACACATTTTTAACTTTTTTTGTTTAATCTTCTACTCTCAGGAATATGCAGTTTGGTTTATCCATTTGTAATATAATTAATATAAAATATAGCTAATATTTAAGTAAGAAACATTAATCTCTTCAGTTTTCTAACAAATTAACTTCCCCTGCTATGAAATTTGCCAAATATTCACATCAACATCGTATAGGAATATTTTAAATAACATTGATCAATTAAAAAAGTACTGGCCACTATTAAATGTTTTTAATATAAAATTGTCCGTCATTTATTCCTGATTGATTCCAAATTTAAATGAAAGAAAAAATAAATTATGTTGGTTGTAAAAATTCAGTTGAACTATAGGGAGCGAGTTTCATACTCAGAGTAATCGTTTTTTGTGTCGAAAACCGCTACTTAAACATGTTTTTGATTCAACTTGGGTTGATTGTGATAATGTGACATTTTATTGCAATGCAACATTGACATTTAACTGGAAAGGATATGTTAAGAGCAGTGAGAATGCCGCAAGCTGCTGCTTTTCAATGTGACATCGTTGCAGCATTAGACACTAGGCAAAATGTGATTTCGAGGTTGTGGTCTGATATCGTGCCATAGGGGAGGTGGCGAAGAAATATTAATGAAATAAAAATAAGGTAATGAGTTAAGAGAACCAATAGTCTTGTCACATCAAACACAAATGGGTCAAAATTACTACTTATGTACGACAATGCCCATTTATATACGACCAAGGTGGGAACAATCTGGTTGCATGGACATAATGTCACGGCTCTAGAATGGCCAGCATATAGATGTAAAGGTGGTTGTCAACAATTTCAAGCGAGCGAGTAACAACGGTTGTTTACGTTTTCAACTGTTGACAACCACTTTTGATGGCTTGAAATAGATAAAAACATTTTTATTTGGGCAATAAGTTTTTTCTCTTTGGTAATGAATAAACCACAGAGAGCCCTATAGTGTATAATAGTCCTTTTTTTTTGAGTAGCTCATTTTCAAAAACCGCAAATACAACTATGTCACTTATATAAACACTATGAAAAAGAAAATAATTTATTGCTGGCGATGATGATAGTGGTATTTTGACTAGATGTAGAATTTATTTGTTATTACGGAACTTCATGGGCTCCGACTCGTACTTGGCCACCTTTTTTAAACTTTTAGTTTTATTTTAATAAATTATTTTTTTCGTTTAAGTGGAGCCCTTTTTATTTTAGATTTATTAACCTATATATCAATCAACAAACACAAACCCATTAACAATCCACCTGAGTAGGTAAAGTGTTTAGTGGTAAAGTGTTAGGTAGGTATTTGTTTTTATTATTAAAAAAATATTAATCACTCAAATAATTATTATAATAATATAATTGAATCTCACAACTAACGCCCTCATTAGCAATGTAATGGTGAAAGAATTTTCAAAATCGGTCTAGTACTTTTCGAGATTATCCAAAAAAAATATTCTTAGAAAGTTGTACTAGATATTTATAATTATACATAAAATTCTAGTGGTGAAAGAATTTTCAAAATCGGTCAAGTACACTAAAAAAACTATTATTCGTTGATATTATTAGCCGCCCTCAATAATAAAATGCATCCTACGTTTTACAGTCATAATTGCATTCTAATGGTGAAAGAATTTTTTAAAACAGGCAAGTTGTTTTTTACTGCAACAAATAGTTTTTTACTATGTCTGCGGGTGGCTAAGCCGAATCTTTTTGCAAAAAGCGATTCAGCTTAGTCACCCGCACACACAGTAAAAACATAACAACCCTTTTTCGTCTGTAGTCGGATAAACAACCGGTTGACAACGGTTGCATATCGGCTCCTTTGGATAAATATCTGTTGTCAACATTTGCTTTACATCTATAGGCCAGCCCAATCCCTAGATTTAAATCCCATTGAGCATGCTTGGGATATGCTCCAAGGAGCTTTCAGGGATTTTCTTGAAAATCTGGTTACAGAAGAAAACTTTTTATGCATCTCAGTATGACCTGGGATTATATGTCTCAAGAGGAAATTAACAATCTCATTCTGGGTATGCCTAACCGATGCAAATGCGTTATGAATGTTATGGCTGCTTTTACTGATTATTAATTCGTAATTAAAAGGTTTTTACTTTACCTAATTTTTTAATTTAAAATGATGTACAGTTTTCACACTTGCCATTTTTTTCTCTGTATAAAAATCGGAATTCGCATTTAAAGTCAATGTTATAAAAAAATTATAGGTTATTAAATAAAGTTTTCTTAGATATATTTATGTTTTAAGAAGATATTGACATGTTCTTTGGAATTTTAACAGTGGTAGAACCACGCGGCAGCTTTGCTGTTGCACGTATGGGCCGGCTCAAACCGGGGTGGTACCACGACCTCACAGAATACCGGCGTGATGTGGAAGCTCTGCTTCCGCGTTTCGTCTGGTGAGTGCAGATGGCGGAGCCCCAAATCCCCCCCCCCCCATCAACATGGTAGCGGAATTAAATAATGATAGACTACCCCAGGAGGGTACCAGCACCCCTGGAGAATCACTCGCTCAGCATCCACGACCATGTTTCTCCTCTTTTGAGCGTGGGTGCTCAGGCCCCTCGTATCTCTCCTGCTCGGGGTACAAACTGGAACACTCCTTTGTGCCTCGGGCAGGAGTTTGTGTATACGTCAGAGAGGACATCTGTTCTCGACGCCTCGGCAGACTTGAAGGTTCGGACCTGTCCATCCTTTGGCTACGCGTAGACAGCGACGACCACCCGCTCGTCTACGGGTGCCTCTATAGGTCCCATAGCGGTAATGCCGAAACAGACCGACTCTTGGACCACGTCCAAATGGCTACAGATTCGTTGCTACAGCAGATCCCCTCCGCAGAGATCGTGATCCTCGGCGACTTTAACGCCCATCACGCCGAATGGCTTGGTTCACGTTTAACCGATCATGCGGGGATATCTGTTCATGATTTTGCCTTGGCATATGGTCTGACACAACTGGTTACTTCGCCTACGCGGATTCCAGATGTGGAGGATTATGCACCTTCCCTGTTGGACCTTCTGCTGACCTCTCACCTGGACGGATATCAGATTTCCGTCGACGCCCCTTTAGGCTCCTCGGACCATTGTCTTGTCCGGAGTGTGGTGCCACTCACGCTGAAATCGCAGTTGCATTCTGCAGGCTGCCGCCGTGTTTGGCACTATAGGTCAGCCGATTGGGATGGGATGCGGTCTTTCTTTGCATCCTACCCTTGGGGGCGGGTTTGCTTCTCGCCGGACGATTCCAACGTTGTGGCGGGTTCTGTCGCTGATGTGGTACTTCAGGGTATGGAACTTTTTATTCCTTCCTCTGTGGTGCCCATTGGAGGCAAATCTCAGCCTTGGTTTGGTCGCTCCTGTAAAATAGCATCATGCTATAAGCAGGAGTGCTACCAAGCCTGGGCTAACGCGTCAACGTCCCGGGATGTAACACCAGCGCTCTAAAAAACAAGTATCATTCCCTTGAGGATCACCAGCTGATTAGTGATCGCCAATACGGTTTTCGCCGTGGTCGGTCAGCTTCTGGTCTACCTAACTCACAGATGGGTGGAGGCAGTAAAGTCCAAGGGGGAGGCATTGGCCGTTAGTTTGGACATTGCGAAGGCCTTCGATCGGGTTTGGCACAAAGCGCTTTTTTCGAAGCTCCCTTCCTATAGGCTTCCCGAGAAATTGTGCAGGTGGATCACCAGCTTTCTTGCAGATCGGAGCATCAAGGTCGTTGTAGACGGTGCAAGCTCCGATTGCAAGCCTATTAATGCTGGTGTTCCACAAGGCTCCGTGCTATCGCCAACGCTGTTTCTTCTGCATATCAATGATATGTTGCAAACCCGTAACATTCATTACTATGCACATGACAGCACTGGTGATGCTCTTTACACCGGCCGATCCAATATTTCTCGGGAAAACGTCTCCGAGTACCGGGACAAACTTGTGTCTGAAGTCGAGTCTTTGCTGAACATAGTCTCGGATTGGGGGCGACTAAATCTAGTCCAGTTTAACCCCCAGAAGACACAAGTTTGCGCGTTAACCGCTAAAAAGAACCCCTTTGTCGTATCTCCTCAGTTTCAAGGCACTCCCCTTGATGCCTCAGCCAGAATCGGAATCCTCGGCGTCGAAATATCGAGTGACGTGCGGTTTCGTGGTCACTTGGAAGAGAAGGCCAAATTGGCCTCTAAAAAGCTTGGCGTGCTCAGCAGAGCGGGACAGTAT